TTATGTATATACACACACATATCTATCTATCTATCTATCTATCTATCTATCTATCTATCTATCTATCTATCTATCTATCTATCTATCTATCTATCTATCTATCTATCTATCTATATATATATATATCTATCTATATATATATCTATATATATATATATATATATATATATATATATATATAATATATATATAGCTGTATACGTATTTATATGTGCGGGTGTGTGTATATACATAAGTGGTCCAGTCAAAGTCCGAGTCTCAATTCAACTTAAACACTGATATGAGTTTAAAGAGGGATGTGCATAAAGAAATGCCTGCAATAACTTTCAGGTTATTGCTACTAAATGTGGTTCTACAAGTTACTGAGTCATGGAATCTACTTAGTTTTTCATAGACCACACAGAGTCTTGTGAAAACCTTCTTTTCCTCATGACTGTGCATGTACAAGATTGTAAACTAAAGGTTTTTACATTGAATTCCCCAACGATAAATTTCCGTCAACATGTTTACACATGTACATGCACACATAAAACTGTGAAAAAAACTCATCCTTTCAACCTTTCAATGAATATTCATTTTGTGAATAATGTTACAGTGATCCTCTGCCAAATAGCTATAAGCAAAAAAGAAAAGAAAAGAAAAACATCTGTCAGATTTGCTAACCTCTCAACTGAAAGCAAAATGTTCCCATGATGAGAGAGTTCTAGAAAACAAATCTGCACTGCTTTGGCAAAATTCCAGCAACCAAACCCAAAACTGAAATTAATAAATGGGGGCTACACCAAATTAGTATATCCAGAGGTTCCTCCAAACAACATGTCACTATCCAGCCAAAAGTCTAGATTCCAAAACCCAAAGCCTGGGCTGTGGTGACTGCCCCAGAGCTAACAGCTCAAACTCTCAATTTAGACATTTAGACATGTCACAACACTACTTGAATTTGAATAGCTAAATTCAGTTCATACCTATTAGTTATGATGTAGTTTGGCAATTTCACAAGCCAAATGCCATCAGGTAAAAAAAAAAAAGTCTGGCCATATCTTCTCTGCCCAAAAACTCAGACAAACACTGATGTAACCTTAGCCCCCGTCCTCAGACAGATACTTGTGGTGGATACTTCCACCAAAAAGCAGACAGAAACTGGCAGCCCTTTAGAAACGAAGGAAAAGTTTTGTCTTTACTAACATTCTCTGTCACACTAAAGATAAATCAAACACTGGTCGGTCTCTTCTTGAGCTCAGTCCTTTCAGCCTGCCAAATGGTTGCATGGTTTATACAAACTGAAATTTGGCTATTTTCATCAACAACAGATGGATTTGCGAACCAAAGGAAAATAGAGTCTAATGCTGCTCTCTTCCAAACTTCAACCAAATGTAGTTATCAAAGAAGTTAAGGAAACCAATCTAATCAGAACCCTGTGCTTTCACACTACAGCAAACCACAACATCACATCTACAAGACAGCAAGTAGGTCGCATATATTACACATATATTACACGCACACATTACATTTATTGTTACATATATCTGCATGGTGCCCATCAAAAGTTGGATTACGGTGGTACATCAGTTGTCATTTACTTATCGAGGACATAAAATATTCTCAAATTCATCGTTAATAAATAATAACGATGTGTGCATACTTAATATACGTACTGTAAATCTATGTATGTCTAATTTTGTAACAGAACATTTTTTTAGTGGGTGTGGGTAAACAGCAGGAGTGGAGGGCAGTGGGTCTACGGCCTGAGAGGCCTTCCTTTTCCACCACCACAGCTCCTTCTTCGCTCCCACTACACTTTGCATTCCCAAACATCTAACTCACCACTGGAGCTTGCGTCATTGTGCCCTGACTCACTCACTAATGTGCATGCATATGCACAATGCACACACACACAGCAGAGCAATGGCAAATTACTGGGCCTAGTTTTCAGGATCTGGTGACCTGAAGCATTTCCTCTTTCCAACACAGCACCAAAAATCTAGGAAGTGTGTATCCAACACCGAGCCAAGGCCTTTGGAGTGTTTTTCTTTGGTTATAAATGTGTTGTCAGAGTGTCTGTACATCTCTTGCTCTCAGGGTAAAGTCAACAGCTGTGGAGGTCATTCATTAATCTACCATCCCTGGGCTGACATTTGTAAGAGGGCCAGGCTGCCTGTAACCGCTCACTATCTGTGATATCACAGAGCCAGCGATACAGCGGGAATAAGAAGAAGCTGTCTGCTCGGCTGCACCTTGGCCTCCTGCTTTTTCTGTCTCTTACCATCTCTTCTTCTTTTCATCACTATTTGTTACGCTGTCGGTCTGAGTTAGCCAGAAGAGCCATTTTCCAGCCTGTCCAATGCTACTCAAGCTCTTTCGATCCAGGAAAAACAAAGAATGTGAAAACAAAAAAATGGAAGTGATGGACACTTTGAAAAACAGAGCCATTCTTAGAAAAGAGAAAAAGGGAAAACAAAACAAAATAGCCCCCGCTTTCACTTCTTTTTTAGATGCTTTTAAAACACATCAAGGATGACTACCTTGCCTTGGAATAGGCTTATCGAGCAGCACAAGTCAAATCAATCTGTGACCGCAGAACAAGGCCTTGGATCCCGTCCTTAAACTTCACTGCAGTATATTCACGTGTAGTTTTGTATTTTTTTTTACTTTCACTTTTAGGTCGAAATGACTGAAACGTAGTCACATTCAAAGTATATGTAACCTAAACAGACACACAAATTATGCTGGTTATAGGTTTAGTATCGATCATGTTATTGACATATGGCTGTATTTTATTGAAAGCTAAATGAAAAGCTAATTTTTTCCATGCGCTTATACTTTTCTCTTGTCATTTCTTTTTCTTCCCATAACTGTTAAAACTGTTCACAACTCCTTGAGCGGTTTTTTTTGCCAGTTTTCTTTAGGTTTCAGTAGGTATACAACCACAGATCAGCAAATTTCTTACTGTTTTTAGGGCAGATTTCCTACGAGAGTGTTAACTTTCATAAACTTGAGTGAATTTATGCAGATAAAAATGCAGTGCAGTTAGTTTCCACATAAAGTGGGGGAATGTGGTCTCACTACTATTTATCCGTCTTTACTTAACACTGAAAGCTTATGTTTGATTTGTTACAAATCAATGATGTCAGGAATTAAAATAGTCTCTCCATTGTTACACTATAGCAGGAAAAGTGGGGAAAGCAATGGGAAATATACACTCACCATTCATTCCTCAGGTATACCTGTTTAGTTTCTCATTTATGCAGATATTCAATTGGCCAATCACATGGCAGCAAAGTAGCGCATTTTAGGAATTTGGGCACGGTAACGACAACCTGCCGAAGTTCTAACCAAGCATCAGATTAGAAAATAAAGGCAATTTGAGTGACTTTGAATATGGCATCAGTGATGATGCCAGTTGGACTGGTGTGAGTATTTCAAAAACTGTTGATGTACTGGGATTTTCTCACACAACCAGAGAACACTGAAACATCAGAGAACATCGAAAAAAAGAGGAAAAAAGAGGAAAAATCCAGTGGGCTGCAATTCTCTGGGTGAAAATGCCTCGTTGATGCCAGAGGTCAGGAGAGAATGGCCAGAGTCCATGAAGCTGATATGAAGGGAACACCGAGCCAAACATTCAACTCATTACCACCAAGGTATGCAAAACAGCATCTCCGACTGCACAACACTGAACCCTGAAGCAGTAACAGGGAAAACCACACCACGAGTTCACACGTGCCCACCAATGTTAGGGAATAGAAGCTTGGAAAAATGTCGCTTGCTCTAATTTCAGAATTTGTTGTAAACAATATGAAACCATGGACCCATCCTGCCTTCTGTCAGCGGTTCAAGTTCATGATGGTGGTGTAATACTATCTGGGATATTTTGTTGGCACATTTTGTTACCTTAATATCAATGGGACTGTCACTTTATAACCAGTGTACCCATCTTCTGACAAGCCATGCCACAGAGATCAAATAATCTCAAACTGGTTTCTTGAACATGACAATAAATTCACTCTACTGAAATGGGCTTGACAGACCTTTGGGATGTGGTGTAATGGACAGAAGGCAAAAGGAGGTCCAACCTGATACTAAGAAGGTACACTAAATAAAGTGGATTTATGCAATAATGATAAGGCTTGCCATAGTGTTTTCTACCTTCTTACTTATGTCCAATTTCATTTTTGTTTTTTCCCTTTGAATGCTGTTCTGACTCCCTTCTGACTCATAATTAATAGTTAAAACCAAACGAAGAGTTGAAGGAAAATACCACCCTGCTGGCCAGGACTGATGAGACTGGGACAGTCAAAGCTGGAGAGTCAAAGTGAAAGGATGCTAGAAAGTTAGTACAGAACTTACTGTGGATATTAAGGAGGTCAACTTTACTACTTTTTAAGCAGACAAGGACATGAACCTTTGATTTTACATTGAGTATATCTCCTTTTTGGAACTCACAAATCCATCCCTAACCTTTTTCGCCAATATGGACCTTTCTGCAATGACCAAACTGTCACAACTCCACAAGCTAGAGATGACACCCATGTACATAATACCCCAGTATCTTATCTGTTCAGAGTAAGTGCATAAAAGGAGAAGAAATTCGTAACTCTTCCTTTTCCATCCTTCCAGTTGGCTCCAATGGGAGAGGTCTGACCTATCTCACACTCCTAGAGCACTAAAGGGACTCAGTGATCCTTTATCTGAGCATGAAAAACAATGAGTGGATTCCAGCAACTTCTTGGCCTGTCAGTGGAGGAGAATATTCCACAGATGGCTGATTGTGTTATGAAAATGAAATATTAACCTTTGGCTAGAGTGATATACTTTGGTTTGTGATTTTCCTCTGCAACATTTCCGATGTTTTTAAGGAATATAATTTTATACTGGTAAACATCAAACGATCAAAACAACAGGCGTGCTACAGTGATGTAATGCAAGCGGCGTATTAAGGCCCAACGGGCAAAATCTATTACATGTGTTGCAACAAGTAAGAGCAGCAATTTTATGACACACTGGAAGAAACTAATTAGACGTTCTTCTCTGAAATAGTCAGCTGTCCTTTGACCACGGAGAACAAAAACAAATCGCTTTGACCTACACTTGGAAAATAAACGGTATCATTCACACTGCACGGCTCAAAAGTATAGCGCAATGACTCGCGTGGGTTCGACTTCTCTCCTGACTCATAATTAATGGTGAAAACCAAATGGAGAGGTGAGGGAAAATCCCGCCCCGTTGGCTGTGAGGGGTGAGACCGGGACAGTCAAAGCTGGAGAGTCAAAGTGAGAGGACGCTGGAAAGTTAGGACAGAACCTACTGTGGATATTAACGAGGTCTTTACTTTACTGCTATTTTTAAGCGGACAAGGACATGAAACTTTAATTTTACATCGAGTATATCGCCTTTTTGGAACGCATCAATTCTGCGTCTTTACGCACGAGAGGAAAAAACAAATAAAACAACAACTTCGACATTTTTGGAAATCTGCTCATTGCAGGGATGTTCAAACGAGCCACATCATTCTGACAGGTAGGATAACTTTCTAGCATACTGTTGCGGGAGCGAAGAAAAACACACCGATTGCGCAAAGACTGTGCGCTAACAATGCACGAGCTCTATGTCATTTTTGATAACTTTCACAAAACAGGAAAGTCAGGAAGAGGAAAGTTACGCAGAGGCAGGATTTCAATTAAAGCCTCTGGCATTTTTTACTTCTGTAAAGAAGTTGGCTGTAACACTGTGCCTTGTTTCTGAAACTGGAAGAAACTTAATTTATGTTCAGCGTCATTGTGAGGGGGGCATTTCTGGATCATTTAAAGACCTTTATAAAAGTCTTTTATTTTTTTAAGGAAAAGAAAGAAAGAATAATAAATGATGACATAAACACTCCCTAGACTCATTATTCAACTATAATGCCAAAATTGTAAGTACTTTAAGTAAGTGGTAGTGGATAGAACAAAAGAACGGGCAGTTTAGATCATCTGATTGTTTTCAGTTTCTTCATGAGACTGTGTTTTATTTAACCTGTAAGTGCCACTGCTGTCTTTGTCAGGACACTTGTCTGAAGGGATTTTTGTTCTGATGTACTTATTTGCTTAGTTGCATAGCTTTAAACTGGCAATACTTTCCTTTTTTCAATGCAGATTTGATGTTTCTATAGAATAATCTTCTTTAGTTCCCAAGCTCAGAGAAAACCGAGTAATTTTTAAACGTTATCTTTTAACTTTTCTTCACAGGCTCCTCAAAGGATGTGACTCTGCCAACTTGACCACCCTTGCCTCTGTGTCCAGTGCTGTGCCGCCCTCTGCTGTGTGACCGAGGAAGGTCAAGAAGGGCCAGGCAGTATGAGTAATCAAATAGAGGAGGGGATGAACCCTGTCATAGTCATCCACTACAACCACTCGGGAAAGTGGGAACGGCCCCGCGTCAGTGGGGCCTGCAAAATGGTGCTGCTGCTCCTCATCTGCGTGCTGATTGTTCTGGAGAACATTACAGTTCTCCTCGCCATCTGGAGGAATAAGCGCTTCCATAGCCGTATGTACTTTCTCATTGGAAACCTAGCGTTGTCAGACCTGCTGGCTGGGGTGGCTTATATGGTTAACATCTTTAACTCGGGACCAAAAACCTTCTTCTTGACGCCACTGGAGTGGCTGGCCAGAGAAGGCAGCATGTTTGTAGCCCTCAGCGCTTCCACCTTCAGCCTTCTGGCCATTGGGATCGAGAGGCACATGACAATGGTGCGTCTGCGCCCCTGCGAGACAGCAGGTCGAGGTCGGCTTCTAGCACTGCTGGTAGCCTGCTGGCTTGTGTCGGTACTGCTGAGTGCTCTGCCCAGCCTGGGCTGGAACTGCCTAAACAATCTGCCTTCCTGCTCCACAGTGCTGCCGCTCTATGCTAAGAGTTATATTGCTTTCTGCATCAGTGTGTTCAGTGCCCTGTTGGTGGCCATCATTATACTCTACATCAGGATCTACCGTCTGGTGACCTCCAGTAGCCGCAGGGTGAGCAGCCGGCCTTCAGAGCGTTCGTTGGCCTTGCTTCGTACGGTGGTTATTGTGCTTGGGGTTTTTGTCATGTGCTGGTCTCCCTTGTTTCTCCTGCTCCTGCTGGATGTTGGTTGCAGTCCAGATAAGTGCCCTGTTCTCTACCAGGTGGACTGGTTCATTGCCCTTGCTGTACTCAACTCTGCTCTTAACCCCCTCATATATACTCTGTCCAGCAGAGAAATGAGAAGCGCATTTTTCCGGTTGCTGTGCTGTTGTCAGACCAGCATGGAGCACACTGGGACTCCTGCAGTGGGCAACCCCAACCTAGGGACAATCATCCCCACAGGAGAAAACAGCAAGACAAGTTTTGGTGGAGGAGGGGGGAGCGGGGATGGGAAGTCTACAATGAATAGAGGGAAGGTTCCCACACCTGTGAACTTAGACAACAAGCACGGAGATCCCTCCGCCACCGCCGTGCCCCATCCTTCAGGGCCAGCAGACCTGCTTTCAGCTGTACTTGTCAAGGCGGGAGCGCTGCCAGCCCTCAACAAGTTTTAAATGGAAAAGCCTAAATGAGGTGTTACAGTTACACAGAAACAGACTGGTCTGAAATAATCCTGCTACCAGCCACTTTTTGCTTGTACAGTGTCGTTTGGGAAGCATGGCTTAGATGAAGTAATGATAAAATAATTCAGAAATTCATTTGGAACCAAATGCATCTGATTCTGAATCATAGTACAAAGGAACTCTTAAAGCCACTATTTACAGGAACTCAGATGTCTTTTCCAACACTAAACTCGCTCGAATACAGCGTCGGAGACTTACTTGGATTTAGAAATTTTCGACATTGAATTCATATTGACTGGGGATGCCGTAAAGCATGATTTACTCTTTTAGTGTTTTGTCTGTCATTGAGGGTTTTTTTTCTTGTCATTTTAAGCAAAATGATCAAATTCTTGCACTTTTCTTTTTTTTTGCATGTACTATACGCAGGAAATCTTCAAACACCTGCATTTTTCATTACTTGACTGATAGACTATTTATTTTCTGTGAGAACATTTGCCACCTTAATGCTACACAGCAGTGTTTTATTTTTTGTTTGTTTTTTGCTTTGTGTGCATGAAACCCATCATGGTACTAGGACTTTACTGTTCACTTTATTATTGATTATTTGCAATGCACTGTGAGAGAAACCTATTCTATAAGTTTAGTGCCAGACTAGCAGCCTCATCAGGCTGTGATGTGCATAATTACAAACCAAAAACAACAAAAAACCTGTTGGTTGAAGGAAAAATGACACTGCTAGTAGTTGATTCTTACCACTAGTGGGCAACATAGTAAAGTATGCCCTGATGGTAGTGCTGCAGGAGGTGGTGTTAATTTGTGGGATTCAACTCATGGACATTTCAGGTTCAGGTCAACAGAAGTTACACTGTGAGCAAAATCGGCCTGGCTAATAGCGACAATCATGAAAATATTAGGGTCTCATCAGCACATCTACAAACCACTTGCCCATCAACTAACCACTAGTAAATACGAGTGTTGGATGTGAATTATTTAAGAGTTGTAGACTGTAAATGACATTTATGCTGAGGGTGATGTATTGCCTGATACGTTAAATAGCAAATAAAATTCTATTCGCTTTTATCCGATTTTCATGCGTCATTTTGTTTTATGGAATCAGGGGCTCGTTCCAAATCCCCTTCTTCTCATTTCGTCTGTCCCTGTGATCGCCAGCTGCATAAATTTGCTAAAGAATAGTCATAAAACCCGATGATAAAAACCTTTTGTCAAATGAATGGCAGATTCTACTACTATCAATCCTTCATAAGATCCTTATTGAAGCCTAAGCCGTGAATTCCACACATTTATTAATGTGCGGTATAATTTGCCGTTGGTTTATTAATTGCTTTTCACAGAGGAGAGAAGAAATGTCATCAGATTTAACCTGCTGCACTCATTTAATACCCTAATGGGAGCACGTTCCTGCTATCTTACACGCCTACACATGCAGACATGGGTCAGACGCTGATGAATAATGCAAAAAAATTCTTCATCCGTATTATGACTTGATCTTTCCAGTCAGTGAGGTCATTTGCCGATAAAAGACGTACTACTTGTGGCTACTGTGGAAAAACAGTCCGGGTGTTGTATGAATTCTATGAAAATCATTTAGGATGTTTCTTTAACAAAAAAAAAGAGTGATACCTGTGTGAATGATTTGATTGGCAGAGTATGACAGATAATAATCAGATGTGTAAGCAGCATATTTAGACGTTGATAACTAAAGACAAGGAAAGAATTTGTTTGTTTTTGACCTAAAATACTGCTGCACTAAAGCATACTTTTACACTGAGCTGACAAATGAGCAGAGTTTGATCTTTTTACTGCACCGCGAGACCAGACAGGTGCTGTCAGAGTGGCATTTTATACTTGCCTCAGCTAAAGGATGTGTCTCGGCTCTGCACTTCCAGTTCTGATGAAGAGAGACAGCGAGGACGCAATACCGGCCGAACATTTCCAGCTTAAAGGTCACTGACTGCTTCCTGTCAGAAATGTCTGAACACGTTCTTTTCTGAATTAGCTGGGGATGATTGTGGCCTTATGCCACGTGGAACACCGGAAAATGTCCAAATGTTGAGCTGTGTAGTGTGATTTATAGACAGTGTATCCTGTGTTTCCTGAAACAGTTTACCCAATCTCTGCTTCATCCTCACCATTGCTTTATTAAATCACATCCTCATTTTAGTTCCGCTAAATCTGTCTTTTTTTTAGTCTGAAAACAGGTTTGCAAAGAATAGAAGATAAATAAAAATCCATAAAAATAAGCAACATACAGAATAATAGAAAATTTCACTCTCAGAAATTTCACCGAGGGGATCCAGCGATATTTAAAACACGTTAAATTAATGCTATTCCAAAAAGGATGATTATTCTTCATCCCCTCCTTAACATAAAGTTTGGAGTTTGAGATAAATCTTTTAATGTCATGGCAAAAAAAAGTAAACTAAATATTCTGGCACTATCATGTACAAATACCCTAATGTAACAGCAAGATGGACTGCTACTCCTAAATGTAGACAATACAATGAAAAACAAGGAATGAATAAATAACTTGGGGGAAAAAAATCATAGGCAGAATTGTCCAAAATAGAAGCAACACAATCACAGTGGTCAAGATTACAACAATGTGGGATTTTTACAGGGACCAAAATATTTAACAGCTCACAAAAGGCAACAAAGTGAAGATCAGCTGCAATCTGTGCAGATCAGCTGATCTCAGTGTCACCAAGCACCGGGTGACGGCTCAGCTGAAGCAGTTTGAGACATTCCACTCGCCAAATCTCCGCGAAACAGTCCATGCTGACTTAACCTGCCCAGAGCTGCGGTATCTTTGCAAGCCACTTTGCAAGCCACCTGTATTCCACCCCTTTTACTGCTCAGTTCTATGCTGGGATTTTGCTGCTGATCTCACTCCTCCAGCTGCCTCCAGAGTGGGGAGGTGAGCTCCTTATGTTTTTATGCTTCATGAGAAAGGGTGGGGAGGTCCCAAAACCTACACTGACATTTACAAATGACTACAAATGTAACCTAAGATTTTCTTTTGACTGTAGTGGTGTTGGCTGAAATGTTATTTAAGGACGTGTGTAGTATGTACAGTGAATTACAGTTTCCAGCTGATTTTAGAACTCCTTTTTTTCATTCTGACCTTGTATTTGGATCAACGTATTAGAAGCAAGTCATAAAAAGATGTCAGTCTGTCTTGAAATGACAGACAGTTCTTGGTTGACCCAAGTACATTTTCTTGAAATAACCTGCTTTACAGTGTTGGAGATGTGCTGGCAAACGTTTAATATAGACCTATAATAACTTACAGTATATATCAGCTGTGGTTTCCTAACATCACTTACTGCCACTGATAATGATTTTTGTACAAAACCTTCTTAACAAACACAGAAGCAGGCAACAGTCATTATTTTTTAAGAGAGAAAACAAAAAGGTGGAAATAAAAGACACAATGTTGCACATGTCGGCATCATTTTCTAATCCAAAAGCCTTCTTTCTTTGCCCAACATCTATGCCCAGATAAAGAAAAGGACTTTAGCCCAGGGGCCTTAATTTGGGGACTGTGAAGACATAAAGTAGAAAAGTGAATAAATGTTGTTTTTCTAAATAATAATCCTGTTCTTCAAATCCAAGCTATGACAGATTCAATTTCTCCAGTACCTGAAGCAAACACCGTAAATGGTCTGTGTGCTAACTAGGTCAATCACCTTAATAAATCATGTTAACTAAATAGCCATGACTAGTGTTCTTTAAGGATTTAGACATGGTGGATTTGTGTTATTCTCTGTGCACAATGCTTATTTGCATATGACTAATGTGAACACAACGGAGGACAAGAGAATCACACCCCCTCCCATCATCACAATCCTGGCTTTATACCGCTGTGTGCTGAGGAAGTGTGCATGCGTGTGCATGCATTTGCACACATCCCGTTTTTGTGCACAGACGTGTGCACGCCGCGTGTTTCAGAGAAAGAACAAAGACTCCATCTGGTCCAGTCACTGAATGTGCCAGTATGAAACACTTCTGTCATTCTCAAGTCCCTTTTTGATGTAGCTTGGAGGTGGAGTGGAGCCAGGCCGAGAGCTGCGAGGGGTCCCATTTGAGGCGGCCACTCACGCTGGGAGCTCCCGAGTTGAAGCCATTCCCTGCTCTGCAGCCGAGTTGTACCACTCTCACCAGAGGAGGGAATCATTCATCTGGTGTGTGATGATTCTCCTCCCCTGTCTTCACCTCCATTGCTCCTCGATTCAATACAGTGTAATTACACGTGGAACAAAGAGAGCAAAGACTCAAACAGACGTTGGTGATAAGCCCCCCAGGATCACGGGGCTTTATCTAGGGAGCAGGTGGGATGAAGCCGAGGGAGCCGAGGCAAAGGTCACTTTGCAGGAGGATATCTGGAGGAGCTTGCTGAGATTTGGATTGGTGGACACTCCTCCCAGCATTCCCCTCAGCACCCCATTGCCATTAATTCTCCTGTCTAGTGCTGATCAAGTAGAATGAAAGCAGAATAGTTGAATTTGACAGCCTTTTTTATCATCTCAGCTAAGTCATTTTTTACTTTTTTACTTTTTGTTTCTCAGCATCAACAAAAACATCTTAATATACTAGACAACCATGAGACAATATCTGATCAAAGATGAGCACAGAGCCAATTCTGTGGCTTGTAGGGCTGCGACTAATTATTCACTCTTAATTGATTTTTGATTAATGTACTAATCCTTCTACAAACTGTGTGAAAATAACAGAAAACTTCTCATCTCCATTTTCCAAAGCCTGCTTAGATGGTTTTAAACAGCCTATTGGCTTAATAACAGTGTGAATGGTAAAAAACAGAGACAAAGAAAACTGCACATTTTCACATAAACAGTAATATTTGCTAGAGAAATTACCTAATGACCTATTTATGTCTGATTAAATGCTGAGAGATTTACTTACTAGTTTTTCATATGAGAATAGAGACTCTGTTTTCATCTATTTTTATCTTTAGTCCTAGCCATCATGTCTGCGCTTGATAGTGGAAATATTTTATTCTGTCATGATCAGCTGTCCAAAAACAGTCTGAAGTATTTTTCATCTGTGCTCTGTGTCTGTTTGCAGGAATTAACATTGTGTTCATCACCCAAACTACACAAACTACACGACATGCAGGCAACAAAAACAGGAGTAATATTTTAATGTCTCCCAGAAAGGCTCAAGGAGGACATCATATCTCCAGTTTATCTGTCATGACGCCACACAAATACCACACCTAGAAAGTCTGAAGTCTAATGCATTGCACCACATAAATGGAATTTTATATTTCACCGGCCACATAATTAGGTATACCAGTTTAACTGCCCGTAAACACAAATATCGAATCACCCAATCACATGGCAACAACTTAATGCGTTTATGCTCATTCATGGTCAAGATGACCTGCTGAACTTTAGAGGATCAGAATGAGGAAGAGAGGAGATTTAAGTGAGTTTTAATGTGCCGTGGTTGTTTGTGCCCAACTGGCCGGTATGAATATTTCTCATTTTCTCACAAACCATCTCCAGGGTTTACAGGAAATGGTCCATAAAAGAGAAAATATCCAGTGAGCGGCAGCGCTCGAGAGATCAAAGAAGAATGGCCAGACTGCTTTGAGTTGATCGGAAGACAACAGTAACTCAAATAACCACTTGTTACAACCAAAGTATACAAAAGATTATATCTGAATGTAGTACAAATGGAAAAATGAAGCCACTGGACTACAGTGTGGACCACACTGTGTGTCATTCCTGTCAGCTGAGAATAAGAAACTGAGACTACAGTTCAGACGGAAACATGTTGCCTGGTCTGATGAGTCTTGATTGTAACTGCAACATATGGATGGTAGGGTCAGAATTTGGCATGAACAAGCTGAATGGCTCCGTCATGGCAGCAGTTTAGGTTGGTGGTGGTGATGTAATTGTGTGGGGGTTATTTTCCCGGAATATTTTGAGCCTCTTAGTACCAAAATGAGCATTGTTTAAATACCACAGCCTACCTGATTACTGTTGCTGGCCCGTTTTTGACCACAGTGTACTTTTTTTCCGATGGCTGTCACAAAGCTCAAATTATCTCAAATGCCCTGCACAGTCACCAGAACTCCATGGTCAGTGAGTGTGCATTTTAAACCTGAGTGTGATTGCGTGTGGTGTGTTAAACAAGCTCATCTTTGTTCTATTTTGCAGTACCCGGGTCTCTCTTGCAAAAGAAAAATTAAATACAGTACCTGATTAAATGAACACACGTCATGTTTTCATCAGTCTGAGCAACCAGCCGTTCGGCAACAGCTGAACAGATAGGTGGCAGGAGTGGGTAAGCAATCTCTTCAAAATTCCTTCCCTCTCAAAACCCCCCAAAACAGCAGCTGCCTCCCTCACCCAGCCTTCTCTGATTGCAGTCTTCTGGCAGGCTCTGACGGCAAACACACACCTGCTCACACTGACCTCCAATTTATCTCTTGTACGCCTGCCTGCCACAACTGTAGGGATTAACATGTCTGGAATAGGGGTTTAAGTGAGAGGGAGGATGGCGGCCTCTTAGTCTGACATGCATGTCCCGTCTCTCACTTGTGGCACTGAGTTTGTGTGCACAGCTGGCTAATTCCCTGCCTCTGTGCATGCAAACAGCCTGGAGGTTTCTGTGCAATATTGTGCGAAAGAGAAACTGAGGCTGAAGATCCAAAGTGTGCATCTCATAAATGTTAAAGCCCAAGGCAACTTGGGGCTGGAGATGGAATAAATATTTCTACATAACATTCATTAAACACAACAGATGTCTGAGTCTGTCATCAGGTCCGGGTTTAAACACTGCAATATTCGGATGGGTCACCTAGTCCCCACCGAAATGTCTCGTAAAACAACCAAAATTTTTACGTCTTTGTGTTCTTTTCACAATCAGGCTTCTACAACAGCAAGACTTTGACCCTGAAACAAAAGGTATCTAAACTGTAAGAAATCCATTTATGTATTGAATACTTCTACTTGCATGTTATGGATCTGTGTGTATACATTATGTGGTTCCCAAAATGCTGTCTGGCTCTGAGGTGATCACAGGTGTTCATTCCTCCAAGCTTATCTGATGGATTAACAGCTGGCGTCACCGCATAATCGTCGACACCCACCACATCTGACATTACACACATTCTGATTCTGATATGACAGCCGCTCACGCGCACACACACACACACACACACACACACACACACACACACACACACACACACACACACACACACACACACACAGACAGAGTGGAAGACACACATTTTTCCGTTTACCCACAGAGAATTACTGGATATTGCTGAAGGGATGGAGCCACTTCTCCAACCTTCACAAATGCGCTCATAAAAATATAGCTTAACAGTAGGCAAGTTTCTGTCTGATAAAAACAAAAGAAAATCGAATAAAAACACCCTTCAAAGCAGAGAACAGCTAAGCGCTAGACAAAAGCCAGAAAAATGTGGGAATATTTGTTTGATTTTTACATGCTGCATTCCCGCTGTCGTTATTATTCATATTCCTCCCCAGGGAGGCT